GATGAATGGCTCTCGGGTTGTCCCGAAACAAAAGAATATCTCTTGGCTGCCCAATATCTTAATTAAACTTGCCGATTTATTCCCCTAGACGTAGTAGACGCTTTGTCTAACGGCGACGAAATGAAATGTAACGCCGCGCCCGTTTCAGATACCGAAAGAGTGCGCTCGTTAAATTACACAATTTAAAAGTTCGTTTCGTGAAATGAATAAGTAAGTGCGGTGGAACCGAAGCCATTTCCATCGGGATGGCGGTGTCGTCGACGTCATTTGTTCTTATCAGCCGTCCCGGGAGATACCCGGATAACAAATATAAAACCATGGAAACGCTGCTACTTTTACAGGACATCCATAATTGAGATATTGTCCACCTTTTTCTTTATTTATTTTTATTCCACTACCTACCTTCTTTTGCTGCCTAGAGATTTTCTCTTCATTTAATAGTTGCGCCGGGATAAACTGGGTAATTTCTATTGCCCAACTTTATTGCTTTCTACAGTGAACGTTTTGGATGACTTTCGCACTAATATTCACGAATTACATTTTTCAAGTCTTCTTAATTATGTGGTCTCTCCATAAGAAATAATCGAGAGGGGTGAGATCTGGAGATCTCGCTGGCCACTCTAACGGTCCTCGTCTGCTAATACACCACTCAGAAAAACATATGTCCAAAAAAGTCCTGCTAATGTAAGAAGAAGTGAGTTTTGCAAAAATTCCAAATATGTTTGTCCTGTCATATTCTTGACCTATGACCGATTTTCCACCATTCCTACCAAGACATTCACTTTTTGCCGGTATTGAGAATTTGCCTCCTTTACCCAATGAGAATTTTCTCTGCTCCAGTACCTACAATTTTGACGGTTGACTGTACCATTCAAATAGAAAGAAGCTTTGACAGTAAAAGTATTTTACGAGAAAAGTGTGGAATATTGTTAAATAAATACATCATAATTTCACAAAAGTGTAGTCTACGGTCCGGATCATCTTCGTTTAGTTCCTGCACTAGTCTAATTATGTATGGATTGTACTTTTCTTTCTTCATAAGACTTAATACTGAGCGTTGGCTGACTTAAATTTTAGATGAAATTAGGCTAGAAGCACTGTAAGAATCTTCTTCCACACGTATCAAATTGTCAATTGTGTCTTCACTAATACTTGGCTTGGTTTTGAAATATCTTTGACATGTCCAGTTTCTCTGAATTTCCGTTCAATTTTACTAACCGTAGCAGTAAGTAATGGGTCGAATTAGATACTTTGCATTAAATAAATTGCAAACTTATTGTTATGTTCTAGTTTTTTTCCACATCCTAAATTTCAATTCTCTGTGTTTTCGTTAAATGGCCCATATTTAAATATTTCGAAATATTTGGAGAACGCTTAAGAGACAGATACTTCACTGAACGCTCAACAAAAAGTTTTTACATTTAGTAGTGTATATCTATTTTAAATTATATGCTAACAAAGAAATATAAAACTTCCACACTTGCTATTTGAAGAATAACAAAAAACAATAATAAACTGAAAAAGTTTGACCTTGAAATTAAATATTTTGAGAAAGTTTTTGAACATTTCTTCTATAAACACTTTTTAATTTTATCAAACCCCCATTAAAAGTTCTTTTATATTGCTGAAATCATAATTTCATAATTTATTCCAAAGATCAGATTTGGAGATTCTACAAAAATTGAGAAAAATACGGAAATTCTATAGAATAAATTTGCCAATTTGATTCAGAATTACTTTTGATTGAACGGGTACAAGATGTATGTGAATAATGCAGATGGAGGGATTAGGGGTCGGTTTTTATCGTTTCGTGAGTGGAAAATTGTTTATAAAATGATAAGTAATCGGTTTTGGATTTCCCCATTTCTCGCGTGCGTTTATTTAGGAACGCACAGGGTGTTCGATTGTTATTGCCCCGTTTAACAGCCCTTACCCGCGCAGTCTAAATATTTCACCGACAAATAAACAGAAAAGCAGAAACAGTCGTGTTGTTGCTTGATTTATGGCGACCGCAAGTGGATTCGTAACTATCTTTGCGGCTTGTGGCATGGCCATTAGGTACTGGCAGCGGTTATAAAAGATTCACGCTTTCTTTCGATTTCGATGGGAAAGGCGGCACAATGTGTTTCTTTTAAGCCACATGTGAGTTTGTGATGTGCGTGTTTGTCTATCGACTTAATAGACCCATGTGGCCCTGAATTTGCTCCTCGGAAGTTTGAGAAACCATAAGCATATTCACCACCACTCACCCTTACGTAAGTACGTCGCAAAATTCAAAAGCATACATACATATCATATCATACACGCTGCACCGTCACGTTTATGAATAAATAATTCGCTCGAAAGTGATTTTTTTAAACCATCGATAAACAAACACAGGGGTGGGGTGAACTAAAGCGTTATGAATTTATAATAACGAACGTGTTGTTGTTTGTTTTTATAGAGAGAGCTTTTAACTGTAGACATGGTGGAGTGTTTAAAAAATTCCATTCGAAAATAAAAACATTGTGTCCTTAATGTATTTAATTAAGGCAAAAAATATCATATTATCGGTTTATCTTTCGTCACGTTTTTAACCCGCATATAATTATACAAACTCCAGGTGAATGTTACGAACAGGCCTTTGCTAAAATATTTACAATCTAATTCTAACCACTATAAAGTCGACGTTTTTTTTTCATTAAATTGGCTAATTTGTCCACATAATGGAATTTAAATGGATAGGTGGGCAGCATTTAGTTATTTTTAACATGGATTTGTAGGTGAGAGAGTAATTAATATTGCATTGGCAAAAAATTGTGATACAAGAGCATGGGAATTCCATTAAGAATTTGGGTTACTAAGAAGACATAAATTACACGACCCCCCTACTGTTGTGAATTTATGGCTGTTATCTATTTGGTGACATCTTTGCAAAAAATGCCATTTGGTAATAGTGTTTTTATGGCGGATGATTTATGGTTCGGGAAGAAATAACTTTAATAGTTAAGTAAAGTTCCATTGTTCTGCGCGGTTTTGAAAGTATAAAATATAAGCATGAGTGGAGTGGAACTTAATTCTGAGGGCGTATAGAAGATACTGGTTATAATACACAAACAATTATAATGTAGCATGAATGGAGTGTACCGCGATGACATATAAATTACGAAAACTACTTGGTATTGTGGTAAAAGGTAATTTTAAAATTGTAAAGCTTAGAGGAGAATAATAGCGGAGCATGTTTCGCGGCTGCACGGCATGCCGTTTGTTTAATTCGAATAGGATCTCCGGTTTTGCTTTGTAAAGGGGGGATTATTTCGGAGCGGAACTTGCGGAAATATCGGGACAAAAGTTGACGAGGCGGAAAGAATGGAAGTCTTGGAAGCGCGCATGCAGAATTCGGAGGAGACCATTACCGCCTTATAACGCTCCCAAGTTTTAAGAAAACACCTCAATTTCAATTACTGCGTCTTATCTTTTGCTCAGGTGGAAACTTTGTTTCTACCCACTTTATAATCCCGGCGTCCGTTTTAATAAATTTAAACTACTTTGCCGGAAACTTTTTTAAACTTGAAGTGTTGATGCAATTCTCTGCTCATTAAAACAACAAATCAAAAGGTTGAAGATAAGGAATGTGTGTTCTTGGAAACAACAGTGTTTGTCGTCAATTCATCCTGATTGATGCATAATCATGAGAACTGGATTATGTATGTATATACGTAGAGTGGGGGCGAAGGGTTATCGTGGTCGTTCCGACAAGCCCAGACTTAGGATAATTGGCCGACGTTATCGGTTTTCATATACGAAAGTAAATATCAACAACCGTGTCGAGTCGCAGTTCATATTTCATCTGACGAACAAAGCTGCGAATGACAGATTATGTTAATTGAATGGGCTACAGAAATAAATCGCGGTGGTGCCTAATTTCTCCTCGACACAAAGGTGGCCCACGTTATCACAACCCGGGTTGTTTTCCATTTCGTAAAAGCTATTAACGAAGAAGGTTCCATTTATTTGCCAAACCGAGAAGGGTCGTCTGCTATTTTTTTACCGCCCTTAATATAATATAAAATAAAAACATTAAATGATTTATGCGCGTATTCCTCTACGAAATTAAAAGTTGTTGTTTTTTCCTTAAGTTAATTAGATTGCCCGTCGTCAGTTTTTTTCGATGCGATAGCGTTACATCGTTAACAAACCCGAGGGGTGGGTCGTTTTTTTAATTATGTAAAACATTTGTCCGACAATTTATTAGGGGAATAAACAATAGCGTAACGATATCAATCGATGAAGTACATGAAATAACCGAAAAGCGAGCACAGCTAATGAAGAGTTTGCGCTTCTTCTTTGCAGGCGCATTAGTGGTAGCGATAACGCCGCTGCTAATGACTAAATCAATAATTGTTCATTTACCTTTTGACAAAATTACAACTGCCCATTAATAGAACGCCCGGCCAAACATCCAATCGTTAAATGAACATTACCGTTGCTTAGGGATCAAGATAAAAACTCGACTCAACCCCAAGTTAATCAAATGAGATTTTCCTGAAATGTGGGTGGCAGAAATAAATAAAAGAGAGTACATCATATTTAAACGGCCGCATGAATTACGACGGTCTGGGCTGTCGCGTATGATTCGAAACGACTTTTTAGTAAACGTTAAACGGCGGCGGCTATGGCGGCGGCGGCGGCGCGCTCACGTGGCCGTCCGGGCTCGTAAACTTTCATTAGTCGACACTGAATTAAACTAATGTCACCACAATGTGTAATTGTGTACAACAACGGCACAACACATCTGTACGCTATAATGCGACTCGATATTCAAATATATCTGACGCACAAATCTCAATTTATTAGGGCCGCATTAACGCGCGTCATCGCATGATCATAACTAATGCTGTGCCTTTTTTATTCCACATTGCTCACAAACGCAATGGATCTCTATCACCCACGTGAAACATGTTTCGTCAAACACATCATTTTATCGGTAATTCGAAATGAAAAATCAAGAGTGCACTCACCAGGATCCGAGGCGTCTAGACTTTGCTGCGATGCGGGTGGTTGAGAAAGAGGTCCAGGAGTTCCAGGTGACCTCACGTCGTCGTTGACGGGTCCCCCGTACGACAGCGACGACGATGGCGGCCTCTGCAATCAGAAACAATACTTAGGTATAAATGATGACATCTTATCATTGAGCACATTTGGGCAAAATGGTCAACAAAATGAGTATGCAGTAAGTGTGTCAATGTCAGTGTAACTACAATCATAAAATATCTTAACTGTCTCCTCAACAGCTTCTTTAGAAATTTCAACTTTCTATAGAAAATGATCTCTATACTTTCTTAAAATGAATTAGTCAAAAATGACTAGTTACTACAATTATTAGGGACTGCTTTTTCACTTAACCATGGGATCCCCAACATTTAACATTATTATGTAAAATTGTCTCCTGAATCCTAAAATACCGTCAAAAATTATGAAAGTAAAGCAGTTTTTGAGATATAGTTAATTCCATATTATATGGAAAATTGACTATATCTCAAAAACTGTTCTACTTTCATAATTTTTGACGACATTTTCGAATTCAGGGGACAATTTCAAATGAAATTGAGTGCTATTGCTAATTGCTATTGACGAGAATTATTAGTGACTGTTTTTTCGCCATGACAATTAGTCATTTTTGATTAATTCATTTTTAGAGAGTATACATGTATACACAGTATATATATAGAAACCTCTCTGCTCTGATTGGTTTACTGATTTCTATACAGGGTATCATGTAATAAGTGTCATCCCAAGCAAGTTTTCTCTCTACCGGGTGAGTTTTTTAAAGTGTTACAAGAGGATATTTCGAAAACGGTTTAAATTTTTTTTATTAAATTATGGTAAACTAATAAAAAGGTGGGAGGTTATATGCAGGGTGTCCCAAAAGTCAACGATATCCTTTGAAGGACTAATAGATCAGCTCATGACTAATCAAAATATCAAAATAATGACAGTAAAAAATCATTAGCTTTTAAGATATTGGCATTTTTATGAATTTTGTGAAACTTGACACATAATATCAGTTTTTAGAGTGTTACAACTACATCATTCTATATTCTTAGATTATATTTTATTTTGCATAACCCTGACTAGGACTACTATGAATTACAATTCAAAATTAAATTAATAGTAGATTTTGTAGCTGTGACATTCGAAAAACTGATCTAAGGTGTCAAGTTTTACAAAATTCATAAAAATGACCATATCTCAAAAACTAACGATTATTTATTTTGATTTTCTGCTTAGTCATGAGTTGGTCTATCAGTCCTACAAAGGATATCGTTGACACCCTATATAGGGATTTTTAAAAAATTCGAATCTATGTAAAAAATTAGGTATGTGAGCAAAAAAAATTGTTTTGCTCTTTCGCTTACGAAATTATTATTTAAAAAATTATAAAATACTAAAAAATAATTTTAATTTATTTATCAAGTGTACAAAATTCATTTAGAAAAAGAGTGAGAAAGTGTTTGGTGACTTTTAACGAATTTCTCAGACATGACAGAAGATAAATTAGTTGAAATTTAATTATTAATATTTTTTAATATCTTATTATCTAATTAATTTTTTTTGTAGACTAAAAAAAAGTACATCATCCCTATTAAAAATCCAAAGTCAAAGGGGTAGGTGTCAAAAATATGTTTAAATATCCCCCCATCACTATTGTTTTACCAAAATTTCACAAACAAAATTTGAACCGTTTTTGAAATATCTCCTTGTTAGTGCTACTTTTTTATATAAAAATTATGAAAATTTACTTATTTCAAGGTATTTTATTTTGGCCAGCAACAGCTGTCCGATAAGACCCACAGTTAAACAACTGGCCGACTCTACTTAGTCCGTTGATTCCAATCGCTTAACGTTACAAGTTACGTAGGTAATGGTTTAAATGAATCCAGTGTCGTGCCAAAATCTTATTAGATGACACCCTGTAAATTTCTAGAACTTAACATAATATTTCCGACATTTGAAATGTATAGAGAATAAGAGATGCGTGCTATGGAGTATTCCTAAAGGAGTTGCAAAAAAGTTTTGAGGCACGAATTCAATAATTGGCGCGCGGTCTCGTGCAGATAAATAATAAAGCAACAGGGATTATGTGCGTCTAGAGTAAGACTCGGTCCCGTGGGTGAATAGACACGACTTTGTCCCCCATGCCATGCGAAAAAAATATTATGGAAACACGACACCTCCGACGTGACGGGATCATATCTCACACACAGCATTTATTTTTTTCGTCGTTTCGGATCTTCTCGTATGGCCTCTTCAAAGCACCACAAATCTGTTTTGCATTAATAACATCCTCCTTGAAAGCGAGCAACTGTTTCCCCTCGCAAGTGTAAACAACACATGACCAAATTACGGGTTCGATGTGAAAAATTAAATAATAACGACTTGACGGTTCATTACGCGGCGAGCAGTTGGAAAATCAATTACCAACCGATACTGCACCTTGTTTAACGTGTATGTTTTATTAAATATAACGAGGCGCTTAAAAAAATAGCGCGTGAACGAATTAACACGGTAACGTAAAAAATACCGGCCCGCGGACTGTTCAACCGCGACGTGCGTTTCCTTTTTCCGGTTATCGACATATGAACCTTATTGATAAATAATAAATATTCTGTTGGTTTTAAATTTATGTTAGACTAATTATCGTGACCCTTAGAGGTTTGGGTGGTATTGTGTAGCGCTTGAGTTTAGTCAATTTGACAACACAATTAGCTCGTAAAATAAATGCGAAATCTGCTACGGAGTATGTCTAGTGTGCGGTTACGGCTGTTGCGAGATCGTAACGTTTTTATGGTTCTTATGAAGAGCGTTCACTGTGCTTTATCAGGAGGCGCCTTCGAATCTCTTACCCGAGCGTAAAAATATTTTTTTTTTATTTTTATTAAAATGTTTTCCACCAAGAGGTGTACTTAAACTAGTGTTATGCAAATGATGTTGATACTGTAAGGTAATATGGGTCAGTGTCAGGGAAAGTGATTCTAAGACTGATTTATGCAACGCCTTGGATGGGAAGCGACAAGCCATTATTCTGGCGAGAGAATCCCCTTAAAATTTGATGAGCGAGTCACAAGAGATTGGACATCATTCGATTATACGTAATTGAAAGAATATTAAGACCATTCAGGAGTCGAGTTAATTCATTCGTATTAAATTAGCGATAATGAAATTTGGCACCTTCTATCGCATTTGAATAATTTTATTTGGAGTGCATTTAGCTGATTTAATATTGAAGTGGGCAAAAGTGTTTGGTGTGTGCAGATTTTCGCCCCTTTTGACTCGCGTAATTGACTTTTAACTAAATGCTAGAAAATGGATAAGTCGTGTTGTTGGGGGAGTCGCGTCTATTGTAACAAATCTAATCTACGCATCAGCCAAATTAGGAATTAGCAGTGCTCAAGGGAATCGCTCGCCGCCCTTCATGCAAATACCAATTGGCCACTTCACTCGAGCACTGTGTGCCACTCAACCCCATCGAGTTTAGGCGTCTTGATGCGATTTCGACGACGGCAAACAACCGAACAGACAGGGTCGCTACTGCAGGCACAGATTTATTTAATTTCCGGATACTAATGAACGACAACCGGCTTCTGCTAGTCTGCTGCTGCTGCTGCTGCTCTCAAACGACTTCAATACATATACGCGGTGCGGGTGTTAATTGTCTCCGTCATGTGGGCCGCTAATGCAATCACTGCTAACACTATAATGTTTGCAACTTCCGATAAACCCACGCTTTTTTCCACCCTTCCAAAATCTCGGCTCACTAAACGACACAATTAACTTTTCTTTCATAAATCAATTGCACGATACACAGTTAGGTCTTAATAGAGAATATCTATTCAAAACAAAAAGTTCATCGGCTAAAAATGGTCAATTTGCCATAAAACGGCACAGACGACATAGCACGACGGTGCATGGTTTTTGCCGTGCGATCCCTAAGACGATTAAAGCTAGATTTTCTGGTTCTCGGCCGCGATAGAAAGTGTTTATTGAACCAATTGGTTATTCAGGACATGGCTCGATTATTCTGTTTACAAACAGCACGTGATCGTGTCAAGCATAAGAAGAACCACCAGTGGCGGCTCGACAAGAAGAGAGTGGCCTCAGTAGATTCGACACACGCCGTACGAGCTTTGCGCGACTAGTTTAAAACATGGAGATGTCGAGAATGCCAACTCGATTTTTTTTCGAAGAGCGTTATTTCGTCGAACGCGGCAGGGCCGACCTTGTCCGTCAAAGTATGAACGATACGGGTGACGTCAGACATGGCACATGGTAATTGAATCAGCTGAGCCAGGATGGTATTCTTGTCAACAGCGCTGTATCGAGTCTTTGTTTTGATACGAAAATAGAATTGATGCAAATGGTTTTTAGCTTGTTTTCGGTCAGGCGGCTGAAGTCTTATCGCAGACGAAAGGATAATTAAATTTGTCGGCGTGATTTATCGGCGACAGCGTAACGGCGCTGCCGACGCCTACGCGGATATGAGCGCCGCTTCCCTTAGTCACTGGATCCTATCCGATCGCAAATCTCTGGGCGCTTGATGTATTGCTCCCCATCGACAAACCAGCCTTCTCGATAACGCAACGCAACACCTGAACCACCTTTATGTATTCTGAAACTAATCAGCCCGCTTTAAATCCCCGTCTTTGTACAACGAGATACGTACTCGTTCAATATTTGCATTGTGTGTGTTTGAATATCAATTAAAGGGGGATTAAACAGCGGAGAAAGTAAAAAATCATTGAATTTAATTGTTTGCTCTGTTCCCCATAATAGCGAGCGGTTTAAAACCTCTTTGGCAACCCCAATCGCAGGCACCTTTGCAGCCCATTGAGGCCTCCCTCGCACAACAGCGTTGTTCTGCGAGCTGTGTTTGTTGTGTTGAAGCTTACAAAGGATGCAGCGGTCCCCTTCAACAACGGCGAACGTGTGCGTCCTGTCAAGGAGACGTCTTCTGCAAGAATCCTGACCGGTCGACTCGCGTCGTTTTTGTTTAAATGTCAGCACCAGATGCTCTCGATTTGGTGGCCATTTGTTCCGCCTCTCCCTTCTTACTCTTCTGCGAGTTAACGATTTTTTCCGATTCAAAGAAACATTCCAAATATTGCCAATAACATATTCAAGGTAAAATTTCAAGAGTCTGGGAGTCTGGATGTTGTCATTTTCGTTTGTCGTTGTCATTAAGCTTGTGGTCATTTCAATATCTTGTCATTCAAGCTTGTCATCATTTATATGATGGCTAGCTGAAATGATGTCATTCTTAAATAATGTATAACTGTATATAAAACAAACACTGTTTTAAATTCGTGAAACTCAAAAACAGTGTTTGTTTTTAATCCAGTTATACATTAGTGACATGCAGTTTCATCAAGTAAAGGTTGAAACAATAAAATATCATTCTTAAATGACTACACACGAATATGACCGAGCTGAACTAAAAGGCAAGCTAAAGCTTGTCCTCATGTAGAAATGACAGCATGTTAGCTTGTGGTCGTTTAAGCTTGTCGTAATTTCAGCTTTTCTTCATTTAGCTTGAAATCAATTAAAATAAATATTGTTAAGTCGGTAATGGGTTGTCGGTGAGCGCCAGCAATGGCCATTCGTTTTGTTTAGTAGAGAAAAGATTGATTCCGATGAGCGAGCAAAGATGCGATGGTGGACGTTGGGAAGGGAAGGTCTGTCGGTCTGCAGGCACTATTTCATTTTAATGGTCCCCGCGGTCCTGGATTCCATTAAACTGTTTCTCCTGCAAAGTTTATTTTTGCCACTGGGACCATTAGTTTGATGCAGCAGGAAACAATCCTGCTGGAGAAGTAGGATTGATAGATGAACCCACGATTTCGACTGTTTCCTTTTGCTGCCTCAGCAACTCATAACTCAACCGGACTGGACTGTGTGTTTGCGTTCGGTTTGTTTGTTCCATGACCGGCCGCGTACTGGAAGAAATATACGTCAAATATTTCTTCCACGATCCATGATTTACAACGGCAAATAAAAAGGAAAGAAATTGATAATCGATTTTATGAATAAATGTTGTTTAAAGAGAAGTGGAAGCATAATTGAATCATAATCGGGAATGGGTGTTGTAAATGGGCATTTGAGAAAAACCTCGGATGCAAAATAATGCATAAATGAATATGGAGCAGCTGTTTCGTATATCTGTTTCGTAATAAATTGAACAAATCCACCTGTTTGCAGTGGGGAAGCTTCTTTGGCGATTACAAGCCATCACTGTCTCCTGAATTAGGCTGTTTCGGGGGAATCGCTTTCCGCGTTCGCTCTCTAGTCGGAGCCGTGCGTTTTACAAGCTATTTGAAGTCAATAAAATGATAATGCTCTAATAAAAGCGGCGAAGATGGCGCGCAGGGACGCCTTCCTTCGGCTAAGTGATTCCGAGACGATGCAAATTGTATCAGGAAGGAAGAAGGAACGAAAGGGAAGCGCCGAAAGATTTTCTCCCTACGATAACGACCAAATGGGATTCTTCTTCTGCTGGCGAAAAGCGACGACGCTTGATCGTTGCCCTTGCACTATAAATACCGAGTTAATTATACTGCTCAGACGACAAATGCGTGCGTGAGACGCTATTGGCAGCCCAGCGCTATTCCTGCTATGAAATACTCTCAATTTGAGCGCCTTCCAAAGCGCAACCTGGCTTTCACTCACTCGCCGCATACCACACGTCTGCTATTTTTATATATCACTACACTGTAGTGTGTGTTTGTGTCCAAACACCTTCAGGAAATAATTAAAACATTCATTTTATTAGACAAATATTGCCATACTCCAATAAAAACACACAAGTTATGGGCGTCTTTTCGCAGCTCCAACAACATATATTTAATATTATCTAAAATTAACATAATTTACGGAATCATATTTTGAAACCCACGCAAAGTATTAAGCCTCCTCTTCACAACATTATGCAAATTCGTCCGGCCAAAAATACCCATACTTGTTGAACGATCGACTGTTAACGCAGTGTTTTTTACTTTCGTTGCATCATCCACAACTAATTAAAGAATAAAATGCAACGGTGTCAGGTGAAAGATTACGATCGCGGCTCGATACGTAAGATTGTATGCGTTATCGCTGTCTATTCATCCATCATCCCGAAAAAACCGAGCGGGTGACCGCAGACTGCGCAAGGGTGTAACTCAATCCCTCACTCGCAACGCCGATGCGTCAGTCTAAATTGACACCAATTACCAGCAAAACTCCCTGCTTTAAGTTCCCCCTTTTTGCTTTTTGCAAACAGCATCACGAAAATGAGCTAATACACTCAGAAACCGCCCCCGCAGCACTCCGCCGCACCCCGCCGCGCAGATGTCGATCAAATGGACTGTCTTGCGATATCCTGCGGGACTTGAAAGCCTACCCGAACGCTTTTTCCAACAACTCGATTCAATTTCGTTTATTAAAAATGCATCGGGTCACTGAAGGTGCAAAGATGCAATTCAAATGTAGAGGATTGTCATTATTTAGATGATCGTCACTTGAAAAAAGACAGCTTTGGTGATATGTTAAACGAATATTCGAAATATTCCCCAACACCAAAACAAAACACAAAGTGCTTAAAGTACTTTTCGACAACAATTTTGGCATCTTTAGAAGCGAAATATAACTAAAATTTCATTCTTTTTCAAAACGACATAACTTTTTTGTTTCTTGAACGATTTTATTTTGGTCTGTGATGTCTGCTAGCCTCATTCTCTGGCAATTCATGCTATAGATATAAAGCTCACGGTTCGTCAAGTAAATTTCCTAACGGGTGATATGTTAAACGGTAAAAAATTTCAATAACTTCATCCATGCCCCGTTTGTAAAAAAAATAATTTTTTTCTTGTTTTTACTTTGAAATAATGAAGTATTATGTGTTACCTCAAAACGTTTTTCAAATTTTTCGAATTGGAATCTTAGCAACGAAAATATTATTTTTTTTCCAAAAGAGTAGATTTAATGCTTTTTTGTAGGCAATACACTAATACTTTTTAATGGTGAAAGATTGTTCCTTGAATAATTCTGAACAAGCGACAAGCAACAAACTTCAATGATTTTCAGAGGAACCTAAGCAAAGACCACTTTTTCAAAATGACATTTTGGTAAAAATTTGCGAAAACTAAACCTGACCGATATTTATGTTCCTGAAATGTTTTCTTTATAATTTTGACCTCCTGATTGTGATTCAGTTGTCAAATTTAAGTTTCAAATAAAAATAAATAATAAATCTCTTAAAAAAGAATGGAAGTAACCTGGGTAAGATGTAGGTAAAGAGGTAGGTATGTGGGTAGGTAGGTAGGTATAACTTATGCAAAAAAACTTCGAAATTTGAAAAAACACAAGCAAACTGAAAAAACAAAAATATCTCTCATAATGCGTTTTGAATGTTTTTCAAGAACTAATTTTCATCATTTGATCCTCGATTTGATCATTCAGCGACATAATAATACCGTACTAAAGCAAAACACAGTAAAAAAAACAGTGAAACCAGATCAGATTTTATTGAAACATTTAAAAGCCAGGAATTGCTTTCGAATTTTTATTCTTGGTGATTTACTGAATTACAATCAGGTCAAAATTATAAAGAAATCTTTGATTGTTTCGACCTTTACTTGATGAAACTCCATATTATTATTATTATGTAGATATAAAAACAAATATGTTTTGAAAGTTTCACGTGTTTTATTTACTTTTGACAATTGTTTCGTCACACAGTGACTTCTTCAAGTTATAAATACATTCTGAAGAAGTCACTGTGTGACGAAACAATTGTCAAAAGTAAATAAAACACGTGAAACTTTCAAAACATATTTGTTTTTATATCTACATAATAATAATATAAAGAAATCATGTCACGAACGTAAATATCGGTTCAGGTTTAGTTTTCGCACAATTTTCACCTAAATATCATTTTGAAAAAGTGGTATTTGCTTAGGTTCCTCTGAAAATAATTAAAGTTTGTTGCATGTAGCTTGTTCAAAATTATTTCAGGAACAATCTTTCACCATCTTATCTTCTTGTTCTTAAAAAGGCTTAGTGTATTGCCATTAAATGTACTCTTTTGAAGAAAAAATCATATTTTCGTTGCTAAGATTCCAATTCGAAAAATTTAAAAAACCTTTTAAGAACACATAATACTTAATTATTTCAAAGTAAAAACGAGAAAAAAAATATTTTTTTACAAACGGGCTTGGATGAAGTTATTGAAATTTTTCACCGTTTAACATATCACCCTGTAGAAAATTTACTTGAAGAACCGTGAGCTTCATATCTATAGCATGAATTGCCAGAGGATGAGGCTAGCAGACATCACAGACCAAAATAAAATCGTTCAAGAATCAAAAAAGTTATGTCGTTTTGAAAAAGAACGAAATTTTTGGTCGCGACACATTGAGTGGTGCGCAGTTTAGTTAGCACTTTGTAGGTATTGGGGAATATTTCTAATATTCGTTTAGCTGATCGTCAGTAAAGATTTTTAATATTTAGTTGTCGTCATTTAAACTTGTCTTGATATCATCTTGCCATCAATTAAAGCTAGCAATCATATGCAATTTAAATGCTGAAGAAGTGGAAAACGCATCTGAATATTATAACGATAAATAACTTATAAATAAACAATCGCGACCATATATTTCGGTATGTTTAAAATTGACAATGGCTTTCGATTAAATATTTATGAAGGTTGTATCAAAGAAGAAGATATTTTGTATTGCAAATGTTCTGTTCTCTGGCGAGTGGTGTGTTGTCGTGTTATGGATATGAATAAATGATGATATCAAAAGGTATATGAAATACTTACGACATCCGGCGTGCTGGCCCCATCTGTGTGAGAGGTGGAGTCTGCATTGCTTCTGGTGCCGCCGTCTCCGTTTGTGGACCCCGTCAGTTCGGGAGGTTTGCCTCCATCCCGCTCGTCTATCACCAGGTCGATGGGCATCTTGCCCTTCAGACAGCTTATATATCGATGGCAGAAATTGTCGCACAATTCGTGCACCTGCAAACAAAAACATTCTGAATCTTTTGAACATGTCGTCTTCTCCAAAAATGGATTTTGAAGAGCGATAACAACAGTATTGTTTGGGTTCAAACATTTCGGTAATGATGTCATATTTCTCGCACCTTATCTGTTGTGCGTTTTAAACGTCGTAAATTAGATGCAACATTTCGGATTAGATAACAGCCGGCTGTCAACGGTATACGATATCGCTTTAAGTTGAATTCAATGTTCGGTGATTAAGGTTTTTTAGGAAATACAAGCGTTGTTTCAAAGTGAAATATTCATGAAACTTATCTATGAATCATTTTACAATTTTTACAATGTTAAATGAATTCGTGACCGATAAACATCTCTACACATCGCAACATTAAATCTCGATTTCAATTCTAAACATTCTAAGCCTAATTATCATATAAATATCTTCGATAATTACCTTATACGTAATGTGTGTTATGTTGTGGATGATTATTATTTTTAAATTCTTTGTTTGTTCTTATCGACTCGTTTATTTTTATGTTTTGTTTGTAGAATGTGTGGAATTATCAAATGTCAATATACTTTTTTATAAATATTTTCACGACATTCTAAGATGATTTGCTTTGGTAAGTTTTGAAGTCCAAGGTTATCTAATAGTTCATTATAATTAATTAATGTGTATTGTTTTTAGTGAGTCAGCGGATATATACGTATTTAAATGTTATTTGTTTAGGGTATTGTATTGGTTTGTGGTTGAAAGAAGGTTGGGAAGGAAAGGAAAAGAAAGAAATTTATTTCGTGTAAGATTGCAGAATGTTATTGGCATTGTTGTGTGGAGTGGATTTTTGTAATAATGGTTGGTAGCGTAGACTTTCCTAATTAGGTGGGTAGAGCAAGAAAGGCAGTAGCAAAAAGGAAAAGAAGAAGAAGATGGAGTAAGGAGGTGGAGGTGGAGGTGGAGGAGGAGAGATCAATAACAGTGGCAGCGACATCGGCACAATGCACCGCTCGAGTTACACGGGATCGTCTCAGATTCTCCGTATTAAAAGCCGACATGTAAAAATATGGAAATTGCGCGGCAGAATGCGGTCCGATCGGGCGGATGGCCATCGCATCGCTTTGCATTCGCAGCTACATTTAAATTGCTAAAAGGGGACACTATCGAGCGGTTCATCTCTCTCTCCGCGATATTATAATCTCGTTGCAAGGCAAATGCACATAACCGGTTACCCCAGACGTCTTCGTCGGCCATCTTGCCCGACAGGCCTGCTTGACTTGACTTGCTCGACCGACCCCATCCTCATGCAAACTACTAACTACACGCTGCTGCTATCGCTCGAGGTCCTCTTCCACTATCTCTTCTCTCCACTCCACAAAAACCTCTACCTACCTACACTTACTTATTACAAATTATTACAATCATACTTTTTTACCAAAAAATCACCCAAAATGCACATGCAAATTCCAAGTCTGGGTTTGAGAAGTTATTTCTATGTTGCTAAAGGTGGGGAAATTCCCTAGAATTTTGGATATTTAATGGGAATTTTTATTTTTTTTCTTTATATACCTAAAACTACCTTATACGCTGGTTTACGCAACTTTTAAACAATATCCATGTTCTATTCTATTATACCTATTAGGTATAGAAACTAATTAATGGAAATTTCATGCACAATCCAGAATCAATAATAAGAGCAAAAATCACAAAATCTATAAATTAGTCAAGAACATCAATTTTAATAAACAGCTTCGGTAGGTTTTGAAATTGAAAAAAATAACAGTGATCTAGATATTTTAGCACCCTGTATCTCGCTTAGCCAGATTTTTGTAAATACGTTAATAAGGACTTTCGACATTAGTTTGTTACACTTGGTGCATCAGTGTTGTAGTAGTACTGATAATTATATTGTACCAAATTTCTTTATAATTTGATGATTTCAGAATGGTGTGTTATTTGATTATGTGTGTGTTATTTTTTTGTTGAGGAAATTGATTAATAAAACAACATTTCTTATCAAAATTATTTCCATTTAAGTTTACAATTACCAACAAATACTTTTGTTACTGGGTCTACAAAAAGGTTTGTAAAACAGATTATAGTTGGTTGTGAACTTAACATAAAGTTATGTGGACCTGGATTAACATAAAATCTGGTTAATATTTGGTTAAAATTAACAAATATTTTTTACTGTGTACAATTTTAGCTTGTCTTCAATTATATTTCAGATTGTCATCATTTTAGCTTGTCGTCATTTAAGAATGTCATCATTTAGCTTGTACAATTTAAACCTGTAGTTGTTTAGGCTTGTGATCAGTATTTTGTTATTTTTTCCGATTTATAATGTAATAAAAGAATCTTTTAAAAAATACACATCAAGGTCTTGAACCTATAAATTCGAAGCGGAATTTCGAGAAATATGACAAATCATATCGAATTGTTACAACTACAAACCCATCTTAAGTAACTCATGGTCACGGTTTGCGGTTTGTAACGATCCAAAAATTTAATATAAAATAAAGTAAACAAACAACCGGCGTGTCTAAAAGCCATTGTAACGTAACGAGAATAGAATAGTAAAAAAGAAGTGAGAGCCTTACCTTTTCCAATTCTAGTAGGTGAAACCTGAGTACTTGTATTGCTTGTACCATCTGAAATAAAGAAAGGAAACATTAGTTGATTACGGCTACTTGTAACAATGAGCTCTGCGTTATTAGATAAATCACTGCTTTCCGGAGTAAATTACTGTTTTGGTGTGGTTGGTGTTTAAAGGCGAGGCGTAGGTGTGCAGTCGCAATGGACCAGACCACAAAATATTCTTCTTATACATTTCTTAACAAAATCAATGATATGAAATAAAACAGGGGGCAAAAGTTGTCCCACAGTTCCGCAACTGCAAATCATCCGAAATAAATCAATCATAAAGCATGGCATGACGCGAAAGCTCACAGTCGAGCGGTTCGCTTCTCTTAAATGTGCGGTCGCAATAATTCGAGCGCCTGAACGAATAGGACGTGTAATGGGCGAGTTTTCCCGTGGCAAACAGTCCTTTATCATGTCCTGTCCTTTATATCCGCGATGCGTGCGTAATGATTTAGCACACGCTCCGCTTGTTTGCCGTCCCCCGGCGTGCGAACGCAAGATAACGACGCCCGGCGTCCTTCTTCGTCTCAATGCAGGGACCTTCCCGTGTAATGTATGCGCCAAGAGCATGTCCATTGTGCAAACGTGTACAAGCTTTGTGAAAATTTTTTAAAATGTCAAAAAGTGTTTGTCCCATTGTGTAATAGTCCTTCGGAGGGGACTTTAAGCCCGCGGTCCGTTCCTACCCCTAACCCGCACAAGCCATTCAGTTGGCTTATGGGACTTCTTAAGAAGTAAGGGTGGAACTAAAAGAACACTTTTGTAAAAGAACACTTTAATTTAGAATGTTAAAGATTGGATATGTTCAAAAATTTATATGTAAACACTATTTTAAATGTTAAAAACACATTTTAGAATATCACAAAATATTTAAGAATAGGCTTTGTAAAATTTTTTTAAAATGTCAAAAAGATTTTAAAATGAGCCATACTTTAAAATGTTAAAACTATAAGACAATTTAGAATGTTAAAGTTTGGATATGTTCAAAAATTTATATGTAAACACTATTTTAAATGTTAAAAACACATTTTAGAATATCACAAAATATTTAAGAATAGGCTTTGTGAAATTTTTTTAAAATGTCAAAAAGATTTTAAAATGTCAAAACTATAAGACAATTTAGAATGTTAAAGTTTGGATATGTTCAAAAATTTATATGTAAACACTATTTTAAATGTTAAAAACACATTTTAGAATATCACAAAATATTTAAGAATAGGCTTTGTGAAATTTTTTTAAAATGTCAAAAAGATTTTAAAATGTCAAAACTATAAGACAATTTAGAATGTTAAAGTTTGGATATGTTCAAAAATTTATATGTAAACACTATTTTAAATGTTAAAAACACATTTTAGAATATCACAAAATATTTAAGAATAGGCTTTGTGAAATTTTTTTTAAATGTCAAAAAGATTTTAAAATGAGCCATACTTTAAAATGTTAAAACTACAAGACAATTTAGAATGTTAAAGTTTGGATATGTTCAAAAATTTATATGTAAACACTATTTTAAATGTTAAAAACACATTTTAGAATATCACAAAATATTTAAGAATAGGTATTAATAACACTCTTTACACGAAGAAAATAAAACAGTTACCAAAGATGTGCAGAACATTAATCCACTTATTTTTAATAATAATAATACTAATAATATTTATTTCCAAAAACGACAATTTAAAAAAATTGTATAGAAAAATGTCAAAAATACAATATAAATACGAATAAAATTGTAAATATTTACATATTGTTATAAAACATATAGGTATCAGGATAAAATTGTAGTTAATTTTCAAAATATTTTTCAATATTATAAAAACATCTTTTAGATATGAGGATACAGCATTTTTAAATTTAAGAAAGTTTTTTAATTTTATAATATTACTATATAACTTGTTATACAATTTTACACATTCTTGTGAGTAAATTCACAAATCCTCTTAGTTTACTTATATTCAAAAACTTGAACTTTGGCATAGTGCACCAATTTAAAATAATAATTAATGTGCAGAATATTGATGTTACAAAACTAACTATTGTCGTTGTCAAAGTAACCCGTGATGTTTTATTACAAATTGTATCATTTTAAATTACTGAGATTGACATTGTATATTAAGTTGATTAGTGTTCGGCGTTTGTGTTTTGTGATCAATGGTTATATTTTTATTTTTTCCACGTAGGATGTCAAAAACATAATTGAGAATGTCAATACACATTTAAAATTGATAAAAACATTTTATTGTTTAAAAGTGTTAATAAAATTAAAGCAACACATTCGAAAATGTTAATAACACTCTTTAGTATGTCAAAAACAAAGAGGAAAAAATTATTTTACATTTCTTAGAAAATTGAAAGTTATTGCTTGATTTTAAACCCTTTAGAATATGCGATATATATCATTTTGAAAATGTAATTGTATAATATTGTTTAAAAGTTATTTTTATGGTATAGGAGTTAACAAACGTTCCTTTTTATTAAACACTCGTTTGCAAGCTTTGTCCGTGCCTAAACACTGGTAACTAAAATGGTTTATAAAACTTGATGCATTATATTAAAATGTAGAAGAGTAGGTCACAATCTTGAAAAATATCGTTTTAATCGCTTTTTGAAGACATAGAAAAGCTTTTATGGCCACTGATACTTATTAATTAAAACATAAATTTATCTTTAACGGTGTTATTAAAATTTTCAGTTTATCTATCAACACATGACTAATATAAAATATAAATTGAGGGGACACAAAATATAACTTATATTAACGATCGTAAAAACCAGTTTTCTAACAGGTTTTTGCTAATATGAAATTACATTCAATGATAGTCTCTAATTAAATAATTATTTAGTTTATTTATTGCGAATCTATGCATATGTACGATATGTTTATGATAAAGTCCTTTTACTTTGAAAGCGAGTTGAATAAATTAGTTTGTGTGTGCATCATGGCTTTTTTAATTGAATTTAATAATAATTGGTAGTGTTGCCAGATGAGTAAAAAATCGTAAAAATTAATTTTGTAATCTGGCAACACTGTTCAGAAACTGGGACAAACTGTATTGGAATATGTTAATATTTTCATTAATAAAGGAAATTAATTTACAGGAAAAAATCACACAAAATGTAAAAGTATAAATGGTATAAATATATTCTAAAGAATTTACGAGCGTCTGACAAATTATAGTACATGATATAATCTAATTTTTAACGGCTTTTTAGCCGTGTAGAAAAGTTATGACCGGTTTTTGCGTGAACTTTGACCCGCCACGGCAATTTGTGGGTGGTCCTCGCTATTCCCTACGTGGTGGACACTAAATGCACAATAATATCTGTGAAATTATAGAAGCAGTAGCCATAAACTGTCAGTTATTAAAATAAACCAATTACTGATTTTATGACATCACGTGCTTTTTTCGCTATAAAGGCGAAATTAAAAGTAAACAGATAACAAAGGCCCTTCAATTTCTTAGAAATTTATTGATTAATTTTATTGATTGCATCGTTAACTGGACGGTTTTCAAGTAATTAGAAATCGAATGGTTTTTCTCGAAACTTTTTTTTTGTTAATTTTTTTTTGCCAAAGCCATATTTTTTTATTGGGCTCAAATGATTTTATAATGCAAAGTGGAAAGTGCAAATATTAAACATGAAATTTAATGGTTCATTATTTACCCAGTTTTCCTGGGATGGCTGGACTAATTCGTCAATAACTATGATTTACAGACAATAAATTTTAAGACCCACTGCTTTATTTATTATAAATAATCCGCGTTGCACGTTAGAAATATTATAATTAGGTTTATTAACCAGTCAGAACTGGGACGAGAGGTTGAAAGATAACCAGTTTCATAATTAAGTTTTTCATAACGTAATTAGTGTTTTTAGTTGTATTACCAGTGTTTAATCAATTTTAAATAGTGTTTTCAAAGTTGTATCTTAAATTTCTTTTAGTTAGACAGTTCCAAGACTGCTGCTGACAGTTAAAAGACAGTTCTGAACCAGTTAAGTTTTAAAACAGTGTTGTGTATTTGGAATGACCCTCGTCATTGAGCGACGGTTGTTCGAGATTCCTGAATAAAAAAATAGTTTAGTAGGTCCATTAGTATAAAAATAAAACAATTTTAATTAGATATGCGGAGATTAATATCTGGACCTGTCTGATTATTACCTATATAGGTAGGTGGGCACGTTGAAAGAAAACCTGCTACCAGACATACGAGCACAACAGAGCCGATTCTGATTTATCGACTCTCCGGACAAAATTTATTTTTAATGTTTACAGAGGGTTTCGATAATGTAATTAAATTCGGATTGTAATGACGTTAGTGGGTCAAAATCGAGGGGTGTATTACTTAGAAATGATGATTAGATGCGACAACATGGAAATGTCCCATTAATGACGAAATATTTAATTTTCTTAAAACCATCATTTCAATCAAATTTAGGGAAATGTAGGTATAATATTATTTCAAACGAGTTATATAAACAGCACAATTAATTAAAAAAGTTAATTAATTTATCTGGGAATAGAACTCGATAGCTATAATGTTAATGAGAGTACGGGTTTTGCCTTTTGAATAATATATAAGTATATGTGTTTAACATAAAATAAACGAATTCGTCAAACTTGTTCACAAAGAAACGTTTATATTAAATTTCGAAGATGCTCTTGCATGGCTTGTTTTTTTTGGCCTTCACCATTCAATCTTGGTAAAAACAACTGGTTCGGATGGTCACGTGTCCTTAACCGTAACATAAACTGGATGGAAATGTCGTCCGATATCTGATGTATGAATATAGGGGGTGACCATGCGACATTAGGAATAACTGAATTCAAATGTTGTCTAGAATTTGCAATTCTTTTCGTAAAATTAAAATATTCGTGCATGTTTTCCGAGTGGTTTTGTCATTAAAGCGAAGTCTGGTGATTAGATATGCGTGATACAACTTAATTTTTACACACGATACTTTTTCGTGAAAAAAATCGAATACTTACTAAGGAATCTACTTCGGGGTCTGCTATATAGTAGGGTTTTTCTTGTCGGATCTGGAATAAAGAGAACAAAATATTAGCACATTTTATATTGAAAATATTAATGATGTCTTTAAGTAGTTATATTATAAAATCATAAAAGTAGGAAATGGGTTTCGAGTATAAACACTGTTATTAAATAATGCGCAGAGCTATGAAAAGTGAGGGAGCCTGATCGAAAAGCATCGATAAAGGTGGGACCCCGGTAAGATGTAATTACACAGAGGTTGTACGCCCCGACCACGTGCCATTATATCCACTTTTTAACATAATTATAGCTATTTTCGTGAATCGGGTCGCCCAGGCCCAGCAGTCGTTTTGTTCAGCGGACGAGGTGTTATCCAGGCGACCATGATGACAACTTAAGAACCATGTAATTTTCGAATGACATCTCGATTATATGATTTCCACTTTATTTGATTCATCTGCTGTTAGTCATTACATTTTTTTTAAAACAATTGTTTCTTTTCGACAATTTGGGCTATTTCTCAAGTTAGAAACGATCAACCTGGTTGTAAAAGGTTTTAAATTTCTCATTTTTGTATAATTGTGTATACTTATAATTATAGATGACCCGAAACTAACACTAACATTTTTGTTTCAAGATAATGAAATGGTTGTAGGTAAACGATTAAAGTGCGGCTGGTGGCTCATCAAACTCATTTTACTTATATACAGACTACAGCAGACATGTAGGCTCGGACATAAAGTGGCCCAAGGTATACCGAGGTTCATCTGCCGCAGGGGTATAATTAGGCACGCGAATGTTAACAGTGCAGTGGCTAGTTTGGGTTAACGGCTTCGTAAACTTTGCTGTTTGAGTCTTTTTGGGCATCTGCACAGCACATGTAATCTAATCCCCCAATGCCGCACTGTCTAGCACTTATCTCTTCTTGAGAGAGAAAAAAACACATGTCTACACATTCAATTAGGAACAGATATACAGGAGTTAATTTATGGTTAATACAAATTTATTTTTGTATATCAATGTTTTTAAAAATAACCTTCTTCAGCATTAGTGCGTTTAAAATTATCCCAAAGATTCTTCAAATGTCAGCAAACTTTTTATTAAAAACTCTAATACTTCCTCGTCATTACATAGTCAATGCGTAGGTAACTGTAATAACCAGGATGAAATCGTCAACGTATATCTCCAATTCAATTAAGTGGAATTTCGAGATAAATGGATTTCATAAATGCCATTTAAATATCAGATTGTTTATAGAATTAAAACTGGTTATATCAATATATGATTTGAAAAGATATACCAAACACTTATTAATAAATAACTGGCTCGACGTAGCACAGCTACACGCACAAACTAACGGATGCCTTTCGGTTTTTATGCACTTTTCAATTAGCTCAGGCAAATACCAATTTAAATGGATGATAATGAATATGAATTCTACCGCTATACGGTACTACTACATGCTCGTTTAGACGACAAAACGTTAATTGGAAAAAATCTACGGTCAAAAAATTATCTGAGCTTAACAGAATTATTTGTAAAATAACTCCCAAATGAAAAATTTATTTAAGTGGACAACCTCCTTCAATTTGGCGAAGCTTTGTTCGAACTTGTGTCTGGAAGAATGCTATATCTACTTCTCGAATTTTTTGATAACCACACTCTTAGAAAAGACCTGGTATTTGCAATGAAAATTTAGTTCCCAGAACCAATTTTATTAGTGAAAATAGGCACAACAAAAAAATATGTTGTGGGAACTAATACAAATTTGTTTTTACAGTTTGTTGTCGGAACAGCCAATATTGGTAGCTCCAACCAACAAGTTTAAGTGCATCGAAATTAGTTTTTTTTTCATACAAATAATTGATATTTAATGCAATCACATTAGTCTGTCATTTTAGCAGCGTCTAAGTTGTAACAACTGCACTTGCTATTTATCGCAACAAACATTGTCTCATGCAGGAATTTATTTTTTAATTGAAATTACATGAAAAAAGGTACATTTAAAGAATTTAATAGTTGATCAAATATAAATTTGTTTTGTACTGTAACTAAGTTATATTTAATATTAAATGCTTGCATTAGTAGCAACAACACATTGGTATTATTCCACAGTACATACCTGCTTAGTAAATATAACACTTTTTGTGTAAATATTATAAAAAATAGAGAAAGGAAATGCATACCCGTTCGTTTTATAAATATTTATTATAAATTAAAAAATAACAATATAACTAAAAACACCAAATTTTGGTTTAAACATTATAACAAAAATTAATAATTACTCTAAGAAAACATTTATAAATATTTTAACAATAAAACAAAAACGATTCTTTGGTAAATATACACAGATAGGTACATTAAGATGAAAGTTGACTATACTTCTTCAGTAAACCGTGATGTTTACGTGAAGTGCAAGCCTTTGTTTAACAACTTAACAATGATTCTTAGGTACAACGTAACATACTTGCATGATAACAGGGGTAAGCATTCGATAAATTTTGAGTGTGAGTGCCTATAGTATAGGCCCTATACCAAAAATGCGACTTGAGCTGTAACAAAACAAAACAAAAAAATTCTCGAAATTCCGACGTGATGGAGACTTTTGGTGGGCACCATTGGATTCAGGAGGCCATTTTCAGTCGGAATGGCATTTTCACATTTTTTGATTTTTTTTCGGACCCCAGAACTACAATAGTGTAATTAAAGGAGTGCAATAATAATACCTAACCTTTAAAAACTGGAACCAATTCAGGTAAACCCCATGTTCCTAATAAATCTGCTACTTCAGTCCGCTCATCCATATTATTTGTTCGAGATATCTATAAGTAACCAACACATAAAAATATATTCTTATATAAATAGTTAAAAAGTATGTCGCCACCGTATTTACAGGGGCAAATGACTAATTGTAATAAACTAGTTTCTTACCTAAAATATACACTACACACGAGCTGATACACAAATACAAAAGAACAAACACCACCGAAGTCTGGACGCCGTGCAACACCGTTTGTTTACAGGTTAAAAGTAAAGCACGCGCCGGGCTGGACAAATCGCGCGAAATGCACAAAGTTTGCAGTTGCATTAACCTACAGAGACAACATCCCCAACTGACACTTTGTTTCACACCACTGGTGTCTTAGCTGTGTGACAAGTGACGCATAGTTTATACAACCGAACCGTTAGTTCCACGGACTAATTTCGGTCAGTTGAGAATGTTACTTAAATATTTGGTCCAACAAAAACATTTTACCGCCGAAATGATTTTTTTGAGATAATGTTGTCAATACTTCTAGCCAACACAAAGTTTCAGTTAAAATAACTTAATCGCCTTTTTGCAGTAAATAATACTCAACAACAAAACTAAATCTTTTCAGGTAATGATGCAAGCAGTTACACATATAAAGGTACTGATTACAAAAAACAAAAAATTTTATTTTCTGCAACAGTTTTACCCCAACGATAATAAGTTAGTTACAAATACCAGGTCTTTTCTAAGAGTGCATTGTCTTAGACCTTCTTGCTCAGTAAGGAAGCTTGTGGTATGTTTGGAAGATGGTTTGGAAGATGGTTTGGAAGATGGTCTTTCTTGAACACAAAAGGTGTGCTAACCAATCTCTGGTGATACGAGCATAATGGCATGATGCCAGGTCAGTCCAAAACATTATTTCGTCTCCAAGATGGTGTTCATTAATACAATCAACTAATGTTGGAAAACATCTAGAGATACCTCTATCTGAAATGGCCGCCCAAACTAAAACTTCATTTTCAATTTTTATTTTCGCCCTTGTGGCAACTTCATTAGGACCTCTTCAATGTTATTTGGAGACTTTTTCAAATTTACAATTTATATGACATCTTTTTAAGAAATTTGATACTAATGTTTTAGGACATATCAAGCTTACTTAGCAAGGAATAATTGTGAACAATGGTAACTTGTTTGGTGCTCATCATAAAGCTGTAATTCATGTATGAAAAAAATTACCAAAGTTTTTGATTTTTGGTTTCCTTTTAATAAGAGTTATAAAGGCTACCAAGACCGTCATTATCTAAACTAAACTTGTTATCAAAATACAAAATTCGTATTTCTAATCTGAATTAAAAACATAGGTGGAGTGTCCCTTCTCAGCTGGTTAGTTTGTTGATTTCTCCTTTGACAATTAACAATACAACAATTAAATTAGAATAACGAGCAAGCTTAAAGGCAGATAGTCTCCACTAAAACAATTAATTTAATTAAACGACACAAGCAGCGTCGTTAAAGACAATCAAGTCGAGTGGCTCGCATCGTTTTCATCTATTTAAAGAGAGAAGAAGCACGACGAACAAAAGACAAACACATGGTCCAAGCACACCGTGATTTTTGCGAAACGCAGTGGCTCGTTGCGACAAACCATTGTTGTTCATTTCGCTTCGGGCACCCTGAAGGGAATGCGTTACCCATCTCGCACACACATTCCCTCCAGGGGTTTGCTCCAACAATTATAGAGGCACAAAGAGTAGGTAGGTAGAAAGAACGTGGCCATAATAAAACCCACAGCGTTGCCTACACCGTACTCGTTAAACGAATTATCAAAACCACCTAAGTAGACAACGGGAGACACCTTAAATGCTCTCTAATAACATATTACGCCAAGTTTATGAGCTATCAACAATTAAGGCACAATGGGAATGTAGAGCAAGATTTTATACCTATGAATTGAAAGAAATACTTAAAATACTAGATCCAGAAGAAACATTGAGTGATTTGTTTCTTCTTGATGTCCACAAGAAACACTGGAGTGTTTCAAATCTTCCACATTGGTCTAACAGAAAAATCCCGGATGTGGTAGAAAATAAAATGGAGGAGTTAATAACAAAAACGTTAAACTTATGCAAGGCATTCCGGGGCCAATTTATTTGAGCTATTAAGCTATTAAACTTCCAAAAAGGTATTTGCATTTTACCAAGAAATTACACGGTGCATGGGATGTAATTTGTTTAATAAATTATTCCCACATAATCGTTTTAATATCGGATATCGTTAGTTTCAATTAGGTCTTAT